ATGCTAAAGTAAAATACCGTTAACTTCTGTATCCAAAAATGCAATTGAGTGTGAAATCCAAATTATCCTATTTGAAACTTTCTTCTAGTACTACTAGATAACACCAGACAATTTAGGATAAAATAGATTTTTGTGATAAAAGAAAAACATTTATGGCATGAGTCAGAAAAAAAAATAATGAATCTATGCCCACAATTTGGTCCACTCTCACTAATGAAATTAAAAACCATACAGGATCTGGGGTGCCTGCATGTCTCAGTCGGTTAAGTGTCTGACTCTTGATTTTGGCTCAGGTCATGGTCTCAGGGTCCTGAGATCTAACCCTGTGTTGGGCTCTGCACTGGGCAGGGTTACCTCCTTAAGATTCTCTCCCTCACTCTCCCTCTACCCCCCTCCCCAGGCACCATACATGCACAGGCTCTCTCTCTCAGAAACAAACAAACCCCCCAAAAACAACCATACAGGATCTCTGAGGAAAGGAAGATTGTAACATCCCTTCATTTCTAAGTATGAGAACTTTCTCTGTTCACTCCAATTAAATGTTCTTTGGTTATCTTGATAAGAAGTTTAAGCTTATTCAAAGTAGATGATTCTGTATATAAATGGCTATAATTAACAAAATGAATCTGACTTCTATTTGTTGCATAACAATTAGATTTAGTTGTACAAAAGACCAAATTTCTTCCTCAAGACAACCCATCAGATGTTTATAGCAATAACTAGCTATTAACTGTTTTAATGCTTTGTTGAAGTGGGAATTTCACAGTCCAACTGATCTTGATGCAAAAAAAAAAAGCATTGTAAAAAAACTCTTTGCATCCTATTTTAATGAAGTGACAAGAATGGAGCAAACCTCAGAAGAGTTGGCTGCAATCATATAAACATAAATCTCACTCTTAGTCACAGATTTAAAGTCAGGTTAATATAAAGTCAAGTTAATAAACCAGTCACAGATATAAAGTCAGATTAATATAAAGTCAAGTTAATAAACCAGAAAAATCATCATCTTAATTCTGCAAAGAGCATATGTGCTATATTCTCCATGATTACAAATTTTGAGATAGCCTCCCTCAAACATTTTGATTTAAAAGGATTTTTTAATAGCTGACTTGACCTTTGCAATTTTTTAATGCCATCATATAAAGGAAAGATAAACAGAGCTCCACACTAAGTTATAGTGGAAAATGGATCATGTTAACCTTGCCAAGGTGTTTTAACTCTTTTTGCCCCCTAAATGTCACAACCCATTTAAGGAATTTTCAGAAATACTGTTTGTTCCAGAAATGCAGATTTGTACCTGTGACCGTTATGAACACTCAGTTATAATGCTATCTAGTATCCTTACTTTCTCAGTTTATAAAATTAGTACCTGATCTATAAGTTTGGCAAGTTTTGGCTATTTTACACAGATTGTTACAAAAAAATATAATGAAGGCTTTCCTATAGCATATTAACAATTCCAAAATAAAATGTAATTAATAAAATAACTGGGAGTACTAGTTATATGTTTAATATTTACTTTGTCTTTATTTAAACTAAGTCCCTGACCTTCATAATATAAGTACTCTGTGGCTAGTTAGCTCTGGAGTCCTGTCTGCTTGTGAAGTTATAAAATGAATTCAAGTACTGTGTATATCCATTAATTTACTTGATCCCATACCTACTTGGTGTCAGAAAGCCACCATGCCATTCATTCCAACAGATTAGTAAATGTGAATGGATCTACAAGACTGGTTTCAGGTGGAAAAGAATCAAAGTTCATACCCTAACAGATATGTGATGAATATAGGAAGGGGCATGCTTAGTCAATATTATCACATATTGACACCTAATTAAAGACAGAGGGTCAGAAACTAACCGGTGGTCATTAACCTCTCTCCAGACATCCCCACCCTGCCAAATGTAAAGAATTAAAAATTAATTCTAACAGTTTGCTAATTATTCCTTCCTAGATACCACATTTATAATATAATGTGTTTTAGTGTGCCTGTAGTATATAAGACACCATGGGTAGAATACAGGTTTATAATAAACAATGGGGCAGTCCTGATAGTTTAAGAGTTTGATAAGTGATATTTAAAATTGTATTTTTCCCAGTTATTTATTTGTTCATTTTATAATTTTACTACCAAGCACTACTCTTGAGCTCTTTAATATAGCTGTGTCTAATTCATCTATATCTCATCACTGAGCACAGTGCCTGACAGGTGTTCAATAAATGATTCCTGAGTAAATGAAGGAAAGGCCATTAACTAGGTTTTCTTATGGTGGACTTGAAACTTTACCGAATAATATGGAGACAAAGGTAATTGTTAGGTAATTGCTATGCAAATGGATAATTAACTAAATAAAAAGCCAGCGTGTCCTCCAATCTAAAACAGAATCCACTTAATTTTTCTTAAAAAGAAGAGGTAAATAAAAGGGATTTGTTTTTGTTCTGATTTTTACTATGATTACACTGGAACATTAATACTGGGTGAAAATTCATTTTTGAGCCATTAAACATTTTTGAAAATGTTACTGAATGAAATATGAAGTGTCCTACAAAATCTCATGACTCTCCTTTCCATGAATTCTGGGTAGGTATGTGTTTTGTCATATGTCCATTTATTTGGCATTTCTTTTGTTTGTTGTTTTGTTTTTATTACCCAATTTCCCATTTGTAACCTCAAAAGCTTCTAATCTCCCCTGCTTGCCAATTTCTAATCTCCACTGACATCTGCTCATTACCAACCCTAAGAAAGATGTTGGCTATAGTTGAAAATAGTTCAGCAAATACTTGATCAAACCACTTTTAATGGTCCTATCTGGAGTGGACTTGGAATAACTGGAATCTTGACAATTCTTTGTCACTATTTAGACCAATTTCCTAACCAGGGCTTAAAAAACAAACAAGCAAAAGATACTGGCACACCATCAAGCAACATTTTTCTCTCTTCTCCTTTATCTACTATCATACAACTGGCAACCATTTATAGTCTTTATAAATATCTAAAGAAAAATATTTTTCTGACCTAATAATGTTTTGGACAGTGTACTATATATCACATATTTATCTTTTGTTAAGTGGAAAGGTAAGAGAGTTTTGGTTTGGAGTGAACAGTTAACGAAGGATATTTACCTAAAATGAAATGGTAAGAGATCATTTTTAGGTAGCAATTATATTTGGTTTTTCATATCCTAGTAAATGGTCTCAACACTAACAACACAGATTTCATCACTCACTGAATGTCAAATGATAACTATGGTCAAAGTTTCTCATGGTTTATGAATTACTGTCCTAATGCACAGCCACGGAAATGCCATCGAGAGTATCAATGCAGAACTGCAAAATCATGGTTCATACTTTCAAATCTGAAATCAACCTTGGAGTACAGCTGGTCCAATACCTCTATTTCAGAAATGTCAAAACCCAAATCCAAGAAGTCTGTGATCTGTTCAGGGTCACAAAATCTAGCAGATAAACAAAAGAACCTAAGTTCACTGCACCAGACTCCTCTGCTAGAGCTCTCCTCATTTTGCCAGCTAGTAGTAGTATATACAGGGTATTGCTGCTACTTTATGAATTTCTATCTCTTAAAGCCTTCAATACCTACATAAATTCAAAGATACTATAACCAAGCCAGTCACAGAGACAGGCAAAAAGCCATTTGCTCCATGAGATACCCATGAGATACTGGTCCTAAAACTTACTGTGGAAAGGCCATGACAGCGAGATTGAACTGTGATCTCGACCACCTCTAAAAACTGTTCTCTCCTTTCTAGTTATACACAGTTTGGTATAAAAACAAAAAAATCCAGATTTCATATTTTCGTCCTGAAACAACTGTACAAATCCAGGCTGACTAAAGACACTACAGTCTTTCAAAGGTTGCCTTCAGTAAGAGAGCTAATAAATAAAAAGACATCACCATATCACAGTGTATTTCTAACTTCCATATTTAGTAAGTGGCATTTATGTAATGTGCCTATGACCAATATTGTAAAGGATTTTTTTTTACTGCTTTGCCATTCCTCCAAAGTGAAAGGTGTGAAAAGTTATGAAATAGCACAGAGGGATGTACCATTTAAGAATGTGAAGAGAAAATCATTTTTATGGGGTAATTTTAATGGGGTGTCCTCCTAAGAAAAAGGAACTTAAATTATTCTACTCCATTTTAGTGTCCACGTCTTTCACTTTGGAGGCAAGTTAGCAACATAAGGTAACACACAAATACTGGAAATTAATTACGAAATTGACGATGGCAAAATGCTTTACTGAACTCTTCTGTAGTGGAATCGGTCTCAACGATCTAAGAAGCATTTCCAAACACTGCTTTAAAACACATTTCAATGGCAAATTTTACAGTTTGCTATTAGTAGGCTGTTTACTAGTATATAGTATTTTGTGTGAACTAGAAACCACTTATTACTGAAATCGTCAAGAGATATCTTTCCTATGTTAGGAGTAGTATGTGTTGGTAGGTACAACAGCACTTATTAAAATCAAAATCATCTCAAAGATGAGCCCCTAAACCTTGCTCTACAAGGTCACACCCTCAAATAGCCAAAGAAAACTCTCCAAAGTGATTTCTGAAATCTGTGCTTCTATCACACTCTTCCTTTATTCTTTTCCTTGTACAACCCCCTCCACCAGACCCTATGATCCTAAAATCTAACAGCTCCTACTTTAAAGCTCAAGTATACATTCTAACCTCCCCAAATTCCTAACCTCCTCTCTCTTTAAATATCCTACTGCAAGTTTCTACACTGCAGGATGCTGAATTTCACCAAACGGGGTTTCCTCCCTCTTACTTGTTTCTTCGGCCTTTTCTATCTCTGCCCCTTTCTCCGTCAGTCCCCCTTCCCTTTCCCTGACCCTCCAGCTCCACAGCACTTCTACCTTGCCTCCTCTTTTTACCAACTCACACCTCAGCTTCGTAGACCATACTGAGGCACCCTGGCTGGGAGAAAAACTATGTGGTATTTTTCTTCCCTTTAAACTCCTGCCTTGTGAATACCTGCAGCTCCTTTTCCTGGGCGCCCCCCATCCTTTTGCGGGGGAGAAGTAGGGAAGCCCCTCTCTGCTTCGGTCCATCTTGCACACTCGGGGCTACTACGGCAGGGCGGGGCGGGGCGAGCTTGGCCTTTACTGCGCCACAGCAGGTGGGGGGTGGGGCGGTGGCGAACCGCGCCCAGTCCGATCACAGACGGGCTGAAGAGAGGCAGCGAAGGAGATGGGGCCGCCCCCACACCCCGGGACGGGAACTCACCTTCTCTGAGGAAAGGGCGGGTGTCTACTTTAAAACTACTGCCCCCCCTCCCCGCCGCCGCCATAGTGGAGCCGCCAAAGCCGCCGCCGCCGTCGCCACAGCCACCGGCAGGCGGGCTGGCAGGGGTGGAGGTGGCGGAGGAGACAGGCACAATCACTGCCGCCGCCACCGCCGCCGCTGCGCAGGCGGTGTGGGAGGAGGAGGCGGCAGAGACGGTAGCTTCCTGAGGGGAAGACTCCGCCGCCAGCGGTGCGACTGTGCTCGGCGCCGCCGCCATCGCAGCGAAGCGCGGACAATTGCACTTGCGCCTCGCTCCCGTTAAGCCCTTTTAGCCCCGCCTCCCGTTTAGCCCCGCCCCCTTCGCCCCTCTTTTCCACGCTTCAGCTCGAGCCTCGTTCTCGCTCCTTCTCCCCACCAATAGGAACGCTTTAGACCTGCGGGCTGCCCCTCCCCCTTCTCCCACTGCTTGTCGTCACCCGCCTCCCTTTGGAGGGGAAGCGATGATGGCCAAGGGCAAAGGGCAAAAAGCGCGGGATGTAAAAGCACGTGGGCCTCACACAGTGAGGCCTCTTCCTTTGGAGGAGCTGATCTAAAACCAATTTAAGGTTAAAAAAAATGTCTGGAAACCAACTGATTTCACCCCCCAAATATCTCTTTCTTGTACAAAGAACAGAAATAAACAGAATACTCGGTCATGATTTTCGTCATGGGGCCGTAAACGACTACTTATATATCCATCTACCTTTTAATCACAGTGAAAACCTGTGAATCTGGTACCCAACCAAAGAACTAGAATATTACTGATAATTTAAAACTTCTCAACATTTTCCCCCAACTGCCCTAAAGAAACCAATATCCTGATTTATTTTTATTATTTCCATGCTCTTGTTACCTATATTCTTATCACATACGTGTATGCCTGAACAATGTTTTTTACTTTTGTTTTAAATTTCACAACGTTGTGTATCTTTTTCTAGGTAGCATTTTGAGACGTTTTTCTTTTGCTAAACATTTTGTTTCTAAGATTCATCCATGTAGCTGTAGTTCATTCACTTTTAATGCTGTATAATATCCCATTCATTTCCCTGTTGATGGATATGTGTCCTGGTGCTGTGCAAAAGTTTCTCTTGGGTATGCTCTCCTTCCCAGTCTCATTTCCATTACCCTATTTCAAGTCATCATCTCTTGTCAGAGCTATGGCTTCTTACTGGTCTCCTTTCTTCTGATCTCAATCCCTTCCACTGCCCCCACATCACCACTCTTATTTTATGATTCAGCAATATTAAATTAATTACAGATTCCTATGAAGACTGTCATTTCATTATGCAGTATTGTATATATTGTTCCCTCTTCCTGAAATGCCCTTTTCCCCACATTAGGCACATGTCTAATGAGCCCTTATACACCCCTTGAAACCCAGATAATACATCACTTCCTCCAGTAGCCTGTTTTGTCCTACTTAGACTTAATTCCACCCTCCTCTGTGCTGCCCCTATATCCCGTGCGTATTAGTATTGTGTACCTTTCTTCTCCATAGCCTGGGAACATTTTGATACAAAAGACAATTTGTTTTATTTTTGAATCCTTCTGCTCCAGCACAGTAAAGTCCTAGAGCCAAGGTCATGAACCAGTGGTTCCTAGGGCTAGGTCCTTAAGTCCCTAGGTCTGGCACACAGATATGTTTTGATTAACAGTAAAATTGTTTATTACTTCCTTGTCAATATTTGAAAGGGTCATTTCATGTCAAGAAAAAGTTTCTCAAAAGCATTTGAAAATTTGACACTGAAATAGCCAATAGGACAAGGTAAGCCTAAAGAGGGAATGTAATTTTATCCCTTCCAATATTGTGTGTAGGGGGGGAGGAAATCCCTCAAAAACATGGCTTCTCAAAATATGAATCACCATCTGCTTGTATAAAAACTATTCAATCAAAATCTTTGGGGAGTGTACATCACTCAGGATTTAGTCAGCAAAAGAGAAACTGCGCTAGGTATTTTACTTTATTTTTTTATTTATTTTTTTATTATGTTATGTTAATCACCATACATTACATCATTAGTTTTTGATGTAGTGTTCCATGATTCATTGTTTGCGTATAACACCCAGTGCTCCATTCAGAACGTGCCCTCTTTAATACCCATCACCAGGCTAACACATCCTCCCACCCCCCCTCCCCTCTAGAACCCTCAGTTTGTTTTTCAGAGTCCATCGTCTCTCATGGTTCATCTCCCCCTCCGATTCCCCCCCTTCATTCTTCCCCTCCTGCTATCTTCTTCTTCTTCTTCTTCTTCTACTTCTTCTTCTTCTTCTTCTTTTTAACATATAATGTATTATTTGTTTCAGAAGTACAGATCTGTGATTCAACAGTCTTGCACAATTCACAGTGCTCACCATAGCACATACCCTCCCCAGCCACCCCATCCATCCCACCCCCCACCACTCCAGCAACCCTCAGTTTGTTTCCTGAGATTAAGAATTCCTCATATCAGTGAGGTCATATGATACATGTCTTTCTCTGATTGACTTATTTCCCTCAGCATAACACCCTCCAATTCCATCCACGTCATTGCAAATGGCAAGATTTCATTCCTTTTGATGGCTGCATAATATTCCATTGTATATATATACCACATCTTCTTTATCCATTCGTCTGTCGATGGACATCTTGGCTCCTTCCACAGTTTGGCTATTGTGGACATTGCTGCTATAAACATTGGGGTGCATGTACCCCTTCGGATCCCTACATTTGTATCTTTGGGGTAAATACCCAGTTGCACTAGGTATTTTAAACAGAAAATATTTAATATAGGAAATCTGGTATGTTTAAAAAATCATCAGAAATGTTAGAGGAATAAAACTGAGGACTTTTCCAGATATTGTCAACTAACACTGGGAAGCCTTTGTACCCTCTTCTATGCACTCCCCTGTATTGCAGAAGCTGGAAGCCTATGAATTACATTTCTCAGATTTCTTGGCCAGCAGGATTCTGAATATGGTTTAGGTCCTACTGATGATATACATTTGTATGACATTTTAAAATAGAATGGGGATAAAAGCCATTCTTTATATGGATTCCAAAAGATATAAAACACGAATTTTTGTGGTGACTTTAGCATTCTCCCACAAGTCTTATACCCAAAGGCTCTGGAGGACATGTAAGATTAACAATAGTTTTCTGCAGTCCCCTGACCTCTGTGTGGTAGTTATAATTTCCTGTCTTTGGACTATAGCATTCAATAAATATTAAGTTTTTATTGTTATTCTAGTTACTTATCATACAGTTTTATATTAGTTTTAGGTGTACAATATAGTGATTCAACACTTCCTGTGCTCATCACAAGTGTACTCCTTCATCCCCATAACCTATTTAACCCATCTCCCCACCCACCTCCCCTTTGGTAACCATCAGTTTCTTCTGTATAGTCAAGAGTCTTTTTCTTGATTTGCCTCTCTCTCTCTTTCTTATTTTTTCCCTTTGCTTGTTTTGTTTTGTGTCTTAAATCCCACATATGAGTGAATTCATATGGTATTTGTCTTTCTCTGAAGGACTCATTTTGCTTAGCATTATACTCTCTAGCTCTATCCATGTCATTGCAAATGGCAAGATTTCATTATTTTTTTATAACCAAGTATTCCATTGTATATATACTACATATTCTCTATCCATTCCTCCAACAGTGGACACTTGGGGGTCCTTCCATATTTGGATATTGTAAATAATGCTGCTATAAACATAAGGGTGCATGTATCCCTTTAAATTAGTATTCTTGTATCCTTTGGGTAAATACCCAGTAGTGCAATTGCTGGATCATAAGGTAGTTCTATTTTTAACTTTCTGGGGAAACTTCATACTGTTTTCCACAATGTCTGCACCAGTTTGCATTCTCCCCAACAGTGCACCAACAAATATTTATTAAATTATGGAATTAATTCTGCCCTCTTAAGCTCCATGGAAAATTATGCGCCTGCTGTTCAATCAAACAGTAAAAAGGGGAAGAGGATAATGCATGAAATAAAAGAAAGTAGTTAATTTTCTCTGCATTCCCCAGCTCCATTTGGTGATGTGTCATAACACAAAAAAATACCACCAAATCTCACTCATACATTATGACAATGAGCACATACTTTCCTTTCTTCCTTTTACACTTATCATTGCCTCTATGACAGTAATGTTACTAAGTGAATGCCAGAGTAATTTCTTTCACAGGAGAGAGGAAGTGGGCTGTGGCAGAAAGTAACAATTGACAAAACCCTGCCATGGACTGGATGTTTTCCATAATTTTTGTCTTCTCACAACAGTGATGTTATATTGGGCTCATTAATCCCATTTAAAGAATGTAAACTGAACCTTGTTGATGTCACTAACTATTCCCTGGATTTTAATTTAGTGATTGAAATAATCTGTTTACATCACTGGGCTACAGGGAGGACACTGTATTGCCTCAACTAAGCTTTAATTACCAACTCACCAAATCATAGAAAGAAAATGCAGGTAAGGGCATGTGTAAAAGGTTAAGGTGGAGGTCAGAGATACCAAAAAGAAATGAAGGAATATATCTGCATATTTGAGAAATCAGTAAAAAAAAAAAAAAGGTATACCAGTGCTCCTTTCACTATTTTTACCGTGAAATATGATATACTTTGTTTGGAATAACGAGCGGAAATTAAAATTTTAATATCACCAAACACAATACACTTAAAGCCATCAGAAAATGAAAGAAATAATTAAAACATAATATAGTGGCATATAAGTAATATAACTGACATAAAAACGAATCTAAGTAGAACAGTGATGTTCAGTTTTATTAACAAATAAATCAAAGTTGAAAAACAATGGCAATCAAACATCCAAAGTTGTTGAACAACACTGAAGTTAAAGAAAAGCAAATGGATTGCGATATACAAATAAGAAATGCATAAAATAGTATATATAATGTGACTTTGTTTTATTTATTTTTCAAAGGATTTATTTATTTGAAAGAGAGCACGAGTGTCAGGAGGGGCAGAGGGAGAGGGAGAGAGAGAGAAAGAGAAGCAGACTCCCCACGGAGTCCAGAGCCTGATGCAGGGCTCAAGCTCATGACCCTGAGATCATGACCTGAGCCAAAAAAAGGGGAGTTGGGTGCTTAACTGACTGAGCCACCCAGGCACCCCTAATGTTACTTAGTTTTAAATAAACATATTTACATATGAATATATAGCATTTAAATTATATTCAAACACACATAAAATATATCTGGAGAATATATTAAAAAATACTTAGAGAGCATATGGCAA